TCATCGCTTGCTCTTCTTCTTCTGCTGTCGGCTCAGGTGGCGCGGGGCGCTTGCGGGTGTTGGGCTGGATGTTGCGAACAGTCTGCGAGGGTTCGTCCATAGAGACATCTTGAACGCTGGGCGCTGGACTGGGTTCGGGAGAGTCTGATGCCGGGCGGATGAACTGGCTTGGGTCTGGATCGTCGAAGCCCTTGAAGCGAGAGGCTGTGACGATGTGGCGAGTCTTCTTACGAGTGGTCTCCGGCATCTTGGAGGTTACAGGTTGTGGTGTCTCCGTGGGTGTTGGCTGCTGCTGCTGTGTTGTCGGTGCCGGGTTTTCTTCGCGATGATCAATTGAACGGCGGGAGGGGGCGGTGATTCGGCTAGCCGCAGGTTCATTGCCCGTTTGTGACCCGTTTGTCTGCTGACTGGCCTGTGGCAGTGGCTTGCGCAAATCGCTCGGTGTGACCGTCAGTATAGCGTCCAGAAATTCGTTCTGTTCGGCCGATCGCTGGCCGAGCTCACTCTCCATGGTCTGCAGGAACTTCACACTCCACTCATCATCTCGATGCTGCAGTCTTACAACCACCACACCACCCTCACCACTCGTTTGCGTAAGTCGCGGCCGCCGCCTCTCCTTCGCACCGGCCAGCTCCGCCACATACTGCAGCAGCTCCTCGACCTCACTGACCTTAGTATCGACCTCCCAAAGCATAGCCTTCCCACCGCCAGTTGTGACAACAGGCATGAGATTGTCGTATTGCGCCTGCGAGAGAAATACGAAGGTGTAATGCGCCAGCATGTCTACCCTTCTCGGGTCTGGCTTCATCATCGCCTCCGGTCTAGGGACGGGTTCACTGCCCGGCGGTGTGACGAACTCCTCCTCTTTCGGCCAGTACTTCTCATAGTCCACCTCCAGCAAGCTCACAACGTCCTCTCCGTTCGCATCCTTGCCTTGCCTCTGCGACACCTCTCCGAGCTGCTCAAGGAACGCATAGCCGACGATCCATTTCCCCTGTAACAGTGCCTGCAGCCCTTGCGTGAAGTTCCGCTTGGTGGCGACAACATGGCTTGTCTGATTGGCCACATACTCCATCACGAGCTTCACATCGCAAGCCTCCAGTGCAGCCCGGTACTCCTCTAGCGGATCCTTCTTTGCCTTCTGGCTCTTACTCAGATTGCCGCAGGTAAAGACCACATCCCGCCACTCCAGTACAAAGCTTTCGACATACTCCCTGCCCAGCCTGATGGTGAACTAGGCTGCACTCTTGTCGAGTAATTTGTCTCCCTTCAGCACCGCCTCGCCGTTGACGAAGGTGCCAACTTTCGACCCATCTGTGATAGTGATCTCACTTCTCGTATGCAGATGCGCGGAGTCTCCAGGCTCGACAGGGCTGACGTGGATAGTACAGTGCTTCCGCGAGACTGACTTGTGGTTAATGTAGCGGACTACCTCGCCGCCGGGCGATCGGCCTGAGGTTCGACCAAGGAGGTGGCCGGTGCCTGGTCGCAGCCATAAGGGCTTGTGATCAAAGAGATCACCAGTGTGGGTGAGGAGCCACATCGTGTGATCGTGCAGAGACTCATCACTGCAAGTAAAAGTGCGGAGTCTATCGAGTCGTGTACTCCAGTCGTGTGGTCGAGGTTGAGATGGAAACGCGGGGTGCAAGGCAGCCACGCGGAAGCCACGCGATGTCACGTGGCTTCGAACTCCACCCAAGGAATTGCGACAACTTTCCTAAAACGGCCTAAAGTGGCCTAAGATGGCCAACACGACCATACCACCTCAAAGTAAACAGCTGCACCATGGATCGAAATCCATCCCAAATGGGCAAAAGATGTAATACTCCTCGACAGGGAATCGAACCCTACGATACTTATTAGTTAGGATGTTGGCAACCAGTAGATTGAACTGCTTACCTGGTCTCCCGCGCTTGTATGCAAGCTAGAACTCGTCTTTGACAAGCGGAAATCATGACCACTAGACCATCGGGGACTTGATTACTCATGCGTAATCGATGGTGATTCGTTGGGCAATGATCAAGATTGACTGTAAATAAAGTCTTTGGCGTATGGCCGGTCCAGAACTGACCGGCAGTTCGATGCCGTCTGTTCCAAACGAACTGACTATGGCTGATGCGGTAGAGAGACACGATCTGGAAGACTTAGTCAAGATGGACGCGGTGAAGAAGAATCATCAAATGAAATCGTCAAGAACAACTAGCTTGTTGAAGAACACGTCTTCGGTCTCCAGTAAGCCAGAGAGCGCTTTATTCTAGCTAGGTACATACCCACTACAACGACCTTTGTTTCAGCTTACCACCTTCAGCACGCGATTTCCTGCGATGATGGACGTCGCTGTCTGGAAAGGCTTACAGGACTTTGGTAGAGCCTGAAGGTCTCCTCACTGCATGCTGCCATGCATTGGTATCCGCGACCTGGCTGTAGCAAACGCGACACTGAAGCTCGACCGTCAGTTCCTCAGTAATCTTCGGCTTCGGACTTCCGACGTCCGGTATCGCGAGCACCATGACCTTTGCCGTTCTCTAAAACCTCTGCTTCGGAGCCATCCGACTCGGAGAGAGTGACTTGAGAGACGAAGTCGGGTGCGAGGAGCGCGTTCGTGCTATTTTGATCGTCGAAGAGGCCAGGCCAGGTTCGATAACCCTTATCTAACAGCGATCGGCGGTACTGCCTCATTGATCGCTGCTTGCACAGGTGTCATCTCGATCGCTCCCTCGCGCTCCCCCACGAGATCGTCGCTTTTTTTGGTCCCCTCGATTCCAAACTCTGTGTTTAGATTGTTACTCAAAGGAACCTCCTTCTGGAGAAACACTAGAGAGAGGCCAACACCCGCGAATGCAATACCTACAAGCCACACCACACGTAATGCACCTGCAAAAACTTGCACCACTTCCTCCTGTAACGTAGGGTCGGGGATGCTGTCTATGAACGCCGCAGTGGCGTGCTGGTAAGCTTCTCCCCCGATGAGTTTGGAAGCTAGGGCCTGATCGCTTAGCCCGCTCGCAAGCGCAGCGCACTGGTTATTGAAGATTACGCTTGGGATCGTGACGCCCCAAATGCAGCCGAAGTAGCGAGCGAAGCTCCACACGCCCGTAGAAGTAGCGACAAGACTCTGATCTAGTGGTGCTTGAACTGCAGGTAGGAGAATGCCTACTAGGACGCCAGAGCCACTAGCGGCTATGAGCTGAAAGAAAACCCAGGCAGCAGGGTTAGACTTGGCATCAAGCAATGAGAGCAAGCCAAACGCGATGGTGAGTACCGCGAAGCCCGCAATGTGGAGCGGTTTGTAGCGGCCTAGTTTTGAGAGAAGGACGCCACCGACTAGTGCGAACACGAGACCCCCAGCGAATGTGGGCAGCGTGTCAACGCCGGAATGCATAGCTGACTGGCGCTTGACCGACTGGAAATAGATGGGTAGGAAGTAGTAAGTCCAGTACGTGACGATGGCGTGGATGAACGTCAGGCCGAGCGCTGCAGCAGAGGTGCGATTCGAAACCAATACCTTTGGGAAGGAGGGCTCTGGACATAGTCTCGGCGACCATTCGAATGCGGTGAAAAGAGCTATGCCGGAGAACCCCAGCAGAAGCGGTAGGATGACGCGGGAAGATTTCCACTCATATGCAGTGCCGCCCCAAGTCACGGCTATAAGAATTGAGATGACCGCGCCGATGAAGATCAGGTTGCCGGACAGATCGATGCGTCGGAAGCGTTGCCTCCATGTAGTATCTTGCTTGTAGTTGACCCGCAAGAACATGAAGAGAGCGAGAAAGGCGACGCTCCCGATGGGTAGATTCAGGTAGAATACCCATCGCCACGTTGAGTTGTCTGTAATGATGCCGCCCAAGAAAGGTCCAAGAGTGGCGCCTATCGTGGCTCCAATCATTACCAGAGACATGTACTTGCCACGCTCACGCAGCGGGACGAGGTCCGTCACCACGGTCTCAATGAGGAGGTTGATCCCACCGCCACCGAGGCCTTGGATCGTCCTTGCTGCGATCAACATTGCCATCGAAGAAGCACCGCCACTGAGGCCACTACCAAGCACGAACAGGGCCACAGCGATCAGCAGCAAGTTCCGACGGCCAAATATATTGGAGGCCTGTGCGAAGAGCGGCAGAGTGGCCACAGACGCTAGCAGGTACGCGTTCGGCACCCAGATGTAGCTGCTACCACCCCCCAGAGCTTCGGTGATTGCAGGTAGAGCTGACGTGATGATCGTGCCCTCGAGAGCTGAAAGCATGCCCGTGATGCCGAGGGAGGCAATGATAGCCCAGAAGCGCCATGTTTTTCGCGTTGCGGTGTTGTCTTTGGCAGAGATCACCGTGGCGGGGCGGTCGTTTTCATCGAGACGGTGATCTATTTCGTATGATCTGCGAGAGCTCACTGCACCATGTTCCGTCGGCTTCTCCCTGTGTCGCTGAGCTATTGTCATTGTAGGCGTGCTGGTCATTGTTTGCTAGCTTTTCGGTACGGGAAGCTGGGGACGGTTCTGATCATGAAGGGAGGGAAGGATATATATTCTACGTGTAGGACTGCATCTTTGTACTTATGTCTAGATTGGGGTCATAGCCTTTCAGTAAATAAAGTTCATAGCGCTTCAGAGTGAGGGACTATGATTGAGTATGACTCTTGTTGCCCGATGCAGTAATGACGGCTTTGCAATCGCCCAAGTAGTTACTGTCCGTGTATTACAGCGCCCGATCGACGAGCGCCTACCAGTCCTGCAAGGACGTTGTTGCGACATTCTCGGAGGAGCCCTGGTCGAGTATGTTGCAGAAAGCATTATAGATGTGAGCTCTGTCTCAGTGACTACGTACTTCGTGGACCTCGGCACAAAGACGAGGCACGTCAACTGCAACGCAAGGAGGAAGCTGTATAACAATTCTGTCATAAAGACCTCAAGCTTCGTGATCTATCGAGCGGTGCAGGGAGACTTACGATAGCTGTAACCAGATCCTAGACTGAATCATGGCAAAAGTCACGACATCGATCTCGGAAGTCACCCAACAAGACCAACCCTACGACATCCCAGACCCAGAAGCTCCATCCGCATACCAACGAGACATCTACTCCGCCTTCCGCAAACCACTCTTCTCAACCAAACCCTTAGAATGGGAACGCCTCGCCAAAGCCAAGGTCCCCACAGCCAACTTCGGCTATGTCCAAGGCTCAGCCAGTAGCTGCAAGACCTACGCCGCAAACCTGAATGCCTTTGACAGATATCGTCTGCGCCCTTCCATGCTCGTGAACGCTACGCGAAGAGATCTGAGCGTTGAGCTCTTCGGCACGAAGTATGCGAGTCCGATCTTGGTAGCACCCGTCGGGGTGCAGAAGATTATGCACGCTGATGCTGAGACCGCGACTGCCAAGGCTTGTGAGAAGGTCGGTGTGCCTATGATCCTCTCCACAGCTGCGACGCGAACGATCGAAGAAGTCGCCACCGCAAACGGGGCTGGAGATCGTTGGTTCCAGCTCTACTGGCCCAAGCCGCAGGAAGAAGCCATCACCGCATCGCTGCTGAGACGGGCAAAGGCGAACGGCTTCAAAGTGCTTGTAGTCACCCTCGACACCTTCACCCTCGCCTGGCGGCCGGAAGATCTAGATAACTCTTACCTTCCATTCCTCTGGGGCGACGGCTGCCAAATCGGTCACTCAGACCCGGTATTCCTGGCCAAATACGAGGAGATGCAACGCAATGACACACGACCTCTCACAGAAAAGCTAGCAGAAGCCTGGGACGTACTCAAACGCCCCGGCACGCCAGCGGGCGCCGCATGGCTGCTAGCTAATGCGTCCAAGATCAAGAAGTCGAGAGCCTGGCTGGACGTGATGAACAGCGGAACTTACCGGGAATGGGACCATTTGAAAACTCTGCAACGCCTGTGGGATGGGCCAATAGTGCTCAAAGGCATTCAAACTGTGGCTGACGCGCACAAAGCGATTGAGTACGGCATCGACGGTATCATCGTCTCGAACCATGGCGGTCGGCAACTCGACGGCGCCATAGCATCGATAGACGCTCTTGCTGAGATCGGCGCGGATGCGAAGGTCAAGGATTCCAGTCTCACATTACTATTTGACAGCGGCATCCGGCAAGGAAGCGATGTGCTCAAAGCCCTCGCCTTGGGCGCGAAAGCTGTGCTGGTGGGACGGCCGTACATGTATGGCTTGGCGATCGGCGGACGAGCAGGCGTAGAGCATGTGCTCAAATGTCTTTTAGCTGACACAGACAATTCGCTCGCCAATTGCGGAAAGAAGAGCGTGAAGGACGTGAGTAGAGAGGACTTGCAGATGAGGAGAGATGCGAAGTTGTAGGATAGTGGTGGGGCCGAGAGTTAATACATGACATGGTGTATATACGCGTAACATGCGGGTGTTGGGCCAACTCTGCAGCCTTGTGCTTTCGAGCTCTACTCATCACTATCGTCTTCATCATGAGGACTCGCCGTTTTCGCTCGTCGCTTGCCGCGTGGCTTGGGCACGGCCTTCGTTTTGGTGGTGCTTTTGCGCTCCTTCGACTTGTCGGATGAGGCAAAGTTGCTGCCATCGCTTTCGTCGCCCATATCAGCATCATGATCGGCAGCTGCTCGACTCCCGTTGGCCGACTTTCGCTTTCGGGCACTCGTGGTCTTCGTCTTGTCCGCCGCTGCAGCCTCACCGGTGTTGACATCAGTCCCTTCCGTTACGATCGCACCTTCACCCTCGCCTCTGCTCTGAGCTCGCTCAGCCATCCTCCTCAACGCCCCTCCCATCCTCGCGCTCTTCCCTTCCTGCGCCCTCTTCCGTGGAGCAAAGCCTTCCTTCCCCTTCCCACCCGCAGCACCGACTCCCACCGCGCCGCTGAAATACTTGGTGAGATTGCTCTGCACCCCTTCCTCAGCCCGATTATTCATATCCCTAATAACCGGCACCAGCACCTCATCAGTCCTTTCCTGCGTCCATCCAATTGTCGCCATGAGGAAGTCCCGCAGC